CAGCTGCTGCTGTTGTTGTTGTTGTTGTTGGTGTTGGTGTTGGTGTTGGTGTTGGTGGTGGTGGTGGTGGTGGTGTTGGTGGTGGTGGTGGTGGTTGTTGTTGTTGGTTGTTGGTTGTTGGTTGTTGGTTGTTGTTGTTGGTTGTTGTTGTTGTTTTCCCCGTGCGGCGTGGTGTACTTGCTGAATCTGCTTCGACGACCAAGCTGAAAGAGGTGGACGGCGTTTCCTTCATGGGGATGGGCCCGTAGCCGAGGGAATTTGTACCCTCTCGGCTTGGCCGAGTTCAATTGGTATGCCAGCTGCTTATTCCAAAGCTGAGGCGAACCTCTGGGGAATCCGAAAATATTTGATGCCCTTCGCATCCTGACAGCTTCGGAGCTTTATGGAATGTCGGCACGGAGGACACCTCAAACGATGCTCGATGGGCTGCAAGTTCACAATGACTTCTCGCAGCCTTGCAGGTTGAATGTTTCGACTGTCGGGGTTCTTCCGGGCATCGTGAAGCTGACCGAGGACATGTGCAGATGGCAGAGTCTTCGTATCACATGCTTCGGAACATGAGTTGCGACATCAGGAGTTCCCACAGGTAAACTTGGCATTTTCCTTGCATTCCCCTTTCACGGAAGAAAGAAACAAGCTTGTGCCGCTTCGGTCGCAGTGATCGTGATTCGTTGACTGCATTTGCTGTCGCTCTACAAGTCCACCAGGCCGCTCAACAGGATGTTTCCGATGGAGGAGGCCTCCTAATGAGCACCTGAGAAAACGGCACCACTGTTTGCAAGTGATGCTGCAGGTGTTCAATGTTCTAGATCAGCGCATTCGCAGCACTGGCCGGCGCATCTGGATCTGCTACTTATTGCTGCAGGCAGCGCAGCATGCTCGCAACAAATCGCTTTAAAGTCCGAGTCACATATATGGTAAAGGAGCATGCGGAGCTCATGAGAATGGCAGGGCATCAATGATTCCGCAGACCATGCTCGGGCTTTGGCCCAGCTGATTCGAGACCGTCCCACGGAGACGCGGTGCGCACCTCAATCTCGCGAACCTGCGAGTGCAAGCGGCTTTGGCTCTGCTCCGCTGGGCAAGAGTGGTGAGGGGAGGTCGGATCGAACCTAAATGACCATTCCTGCCTGCGTGCGAGTGTGTGAGTCGAAACGACCAGGCAAGCCGGCCCAGGCTTTGTGCGTGAGTGGGAGGGGCCTGTCATTCCTCAGCAGGTACTTGTACCACGTCAACTTACTCCCCTACAATGTGGGCAGAGGGCTCAGGGAGCCGGAGCACCCAAGCATGCTTTTATAAAGCTAACCAGTAACCACAGGCCAGAGCCCAACAACTTGCCTAAGTGAGGTCGAGCCGTCCCAGAGAAGTATAGCAGAGCTCGCCCTGAAGGCCTGCATTTCCTTTTTCAAGGTCGGATACAAGTTTGTGTGCTTTCGTGTCGAAGGAGTCGAGCAGTTCCAGCGAATCCTACAGCAACCTGTCTGCCAAGTTCTTCCTTGTCACTGCTTGTCGCTAGTGAAGTGCTGATGGAGCTGCCATGTCGGTGCTGCCTCAGGCAGAAGCGTGTTTCCTCCTCCTATCGAAATTCCTTCGGTCATGGAATCGATGCTGCTTGTGGGCAGCTTTTTGCGGGCTATGAGGAGGCAGAAAGTTTGCCATGTCCCGACACAGCTCAACAGTAGCGACAATGCAATGGCCGTTGCTTTGCATTAGCATTCGGCACTTCCTCGGCTAGCAAGCAAAAGGTGGCAGCAAGAGCTGCGCGACTAGGTGGGGAGCCTAGCTGTTAGCTAGGCAGCTAGGCGTTCGCTGATGCTGGGGTGTTGAATGTCATCCAGTCAGCCTAGGCCTAGGCCTCATGAAGCTCTGAGACTGTGGACCAGGTCCGGACCAACCGACTCCGCTTCCCAAAGCTGCTGAGATGCTGGGAAGCGAGTGATGTGCTCGTTGCTGGCCCTCGCGAAAATCTGGTCAGTTGGTGAGCTCACAGAAGCTTGATCCGGTTGGACGTTTTCTAAAGACTCCGATGCCTTGTTGCAACCGGCAGCAACCTTGCCAGCTTGCACTGGTTGAATCTGCAAAAGGCCCAGACTCCCCAGACTCACACAAACCTTGCCAGGACTTGTTGCACTGGAAGGCTTTCCTCACCAAGATCGCTGGTGCCTCGGCTGCTGTGTGTGTTCCGCCGCAGGGAGTGAACCCAAACTTCACTGTCAGTCTATGCCTATGCTGTTCTTCTCGGATTCCACATGATCCTGCAATACAGGATGATGTCAAGTGTGGCTGTCCACTGATACGAAGGTCCACAAGATTGAACTGCGTCTCCAGGTAGGGCCTGTGCCATTTCTTGAAATGGACAGCAGGTGAGAGAGGATGGCACTGTCCATGTTGAGGCACCAAGGCGGCCTTGGCGTTCAAAGAGCCGGCCTCTTCCATGGCCCCAGCTGCCTCCTACCCTGCGAACGGAGGACTAGTGTCGAGTGGAACTAGTCATTGTCCTCCGATGGTGCTGAATCCGTGATATGGGAAATTGCAATCATGCTTTCTCGAGTTCAGCGGTTTTTTTCCAGGGCTTATTTCGGTCCAGAGCTGTCACGCCTTCTTTTGGGGGAAGAGTGCCCAAAGAGCAGGGACGAATGCCACTATGCACGGAGACTGTGTGCAGGCCATCTCAGGCACTCTGGTCTGGAGTGTCGCTTCAGTCGTTGTGCTTGCATCGCCTGCCTTGCCACATGGTTCAAGTTAAGCATGCCCGTCTCAAGTGAGATGCTGCATCATGTCAACGTGCGTCCTGGGATTGGAAGGGACGATGCGGCATAGAACAGCTCAGCTGTGACCCGGGTGGCTCAAACCAAGCAGCTTATCAGTAACTTATCAAGTTATCTCGACAGGGAGATATAAGGAGGCCATGCCGCTGCCGAAATCAAAGCCGAAGGCCTCCAGTAGCACAGTGGCGACTTAACAGACTTAACACTGCTAGCACCAGTTGGCTTCTTATGCACCACAGCATGCTTGGCAGCAAAGGCTGCGTACACATGTATGCAGATTGCGTGCACGTGCAGGGTGAGGGTCGGCGGGCATACTTCTGCGTGCCCATGCCGCACCTGTGCAGTGTCGGCGGGAGGGATGCAGGGGCTCAGGTCTGCTACAGCAACGGCGCACCCCGTGCAAGGGGTTGACCTAAGCGTAAGTCGCAGCATCTTGTGGAAGTCGTTGCGTGCGCCCCACTACGGCTACTACGAGGGGAGGGTTTAACTCGCATCAATCTTGCTGAGGAAATACGCATTTTTTTGCATTGATATTGGGGTTCAGCAATCCGGGCCCGGCCTGGTGTACATCCAAACATCAACCGTTGCAGGGTCCTCGCGCAGGCGTGTACATGGGGATACCGTGCAAATTCTCACGAGGCAATTCGCTCGAAGTCGTCTTGAACCGGCAAGCACATGGGGATTCCGAGGTAATGCTCGGGAGCCAGTTGTCTACCGACATGAAAAACCAACTAACGCGGACCGCGCGCAACCTCGCGGGGGGACCGCGCAGGGAGTCTAGACCCCTTATAAAACCCAGATTTTGGCCCTCCAGCTTGCCTAATTAAAACTTCCCCGGCCAGGCTGCAGTCCCGGCGGACAAGCCTTGGGGGTGTCAACCGACTTGTGTGTCTTGCGCGGCTTCTCAAGACGAGCGTCTACGTGGGGAATGGTTGGCTTGGTTGTGCTGTGATGCCTCTCATGCTTGTCTTGAGAGGTGCTTCTCAAATCGAGCGTCTACATGGGGAATAGCTTGGCTACCATGTGTTTGTGTGTACTGGGTGCAACTGCCTCTGCTGCAATGTTGAGAACCCTTCTTGAAACCCTCCGTGCTCCTGCTTCTGAAGGGTGCGTGTCAATGGGGAATCCAATGTTCTCGCATGTTATGATCTACGAAAAGGTTGCAGTTTGCCAGCGCGTGGGCCTGATTTCTGTTGTTTTGAGGCTTCGCCCGAAGAGGCTTGCAACACTGCGTGTACTTGGGGATTCCCTAGAGAAGTTTCTCTACACATTCTGTGCAATGACTTCTGGTCCCCTGCTGCGACTTCACCTGATGCAGCGTGACCATGCGGTGCCGCGACTTCTTGAACAATGCCGCGACATAGACATAAGTCTACCCCTTGCACAGTCTCACACTGGGTGCAAAACAACGATTGCAAACCCCCTCCACGTTTAGGAAGGACCCTTGGAATTCATTCGCACAGGCAGAGCGGCAGAACCCAAATTGTTCGTACCAGAGATTCGTTGCACTTTGCAACGCTCCGCCCTCTCGGCTGACCCTCTCCTTCGGAGGTCCGGGTCCTCTTCCTAGATGTGGATGGCGTCTTGCATCCAGCCTCTTGCGGCATCCAGCTTCAAATGGCCCTTGGCTCAGAGGAGTCCGCGCCAGTGCAAAAAGTTGTTGCTCAGAATTGTTGGTGTGAATCTCATACCGCAGGATTCCTCGCTGACGCAGTTTACCACCGGAGAGTACGGGCTGTTTCAACCCCGTGCTATGACACCTGGCAAGAAATCGCTCCTCTCCGGTCTCATGGCTATTTCATGCCTCGACCGGCCCTGATCGTCCGGAAGTGCCAGGAAATGCCTCGCACGCATTCTCTTTTGCTCTGGAGCACGGGTGGTGCTGTCAGGTGCATGGCGCGCGTTGCCTGGAGGCCTCTTTTCTGATTCTTCTCGTTCTCCATTGCTGACTTCGCAGCCTTAAAGGCTTCGATTTGTCAGGCCGGCAGGCAGTCGACCTGGTACTTCGTAGATGGGGGCTGCTTCCCGTGTATTCGGTCACACCTGGAGAAGGTGCAGATAGAGACTTGGAGTGACTTCCGGAGTCATGTTCGTGGCTTTCTGCGAAGACTTTAGTGTCAAGCTCCACAGGGAGTGAAGGCAATCTTTGACTCAAAGCTGGCCCAGGACGAGTTGAGCATATTTGGACTTGGCTATCAGAGCATCGCGACAAAGTGGAGGGTTATGCTGTGGTGGATGACATGGATCTGTCACTGGACTCCACGAGCCAGCGACCTAGACAGACTCGGGATGCCAAGCAAGCAAGTGCTCATGTGCCAGGCTTGCATAGTCAGCCATCCCTCATTGCAGCCCACTTCGTGCGAACACCTGGCACTGTAGGCACGAAGCTTACAAGGCAAAAGCACAAGTCATTGGCATTGTGGCATTGGCCATTGGGCTCAGGACTATCATCTGGCCATGTCTCACGGTTGCTGGCAAAGCTGCAGAAGGAGCCGACCCTGCCAAAGGCGGGAATCGCAGTCCTTCGTTATGGCTTCAGGGCTGTGCCTCCTTCCGGCTGTGAGTAGCCGAGGCCGAGGACTCTACAGGAATCGCAGCTTTACTGCCTTCTCTTCCGAAGCCTCGAACAGGAAGCTGTGTTGGCAAGCAGCATGCCGAGTCTTGAGATGTGGCAATTTCGCAAGCCTGCAGGAGCACCACGGGCAAACACTGCGCACACTTTGCCGGAGGAGGTGCAGGATGATGCAGGATGCCACACCGCGCAGTAGGCTTCAAAGTCTGCTTGCAGGGGCACCAAAAAGAGCGCTCCTGGCGTGCTCGAGCAAGAACTTGCAGGAGGCCAGCGCCGCCGCATGCCAGCCAGGTGGAGGTAAGTCCAACTGTCGCCAACTGGTTTCAGAGGTTCTAGTGCATTTTCTCCGCAGCGTCCCGCTCCAAATGCCGGGGGAGGGGTGACGTCTTGGCTGCTCATTCATGGGCAACGGCTGGGCCGGAAGCTAGGAGCGCCTTGAAGACGCTGCCTTGCAACAGTACCGTTGTATCCATTCGTGCACGAATGAGGCTTCTGCTTGCAATGAAGGCTCGCTCGGCGACATTCTGGGCCGCAGAGACTGTGAGTTGGCTTTGCATTTCAATGTCCAGGGAGTTCGTCTCCTTAGAAGCTTGCTGTTGACTCCTTAGTGAGAGAACCGGGAACCGGAGCTCGAGTGATATGCCGCGGCGGCCAAGGTTGGCACCAGTTGTACTGGTGAGCTCGGCTAAGCAACATCTCCGCCAAGGTGTTAGAAGCTTACCCGGGCGAACAGTATCGTCAGTTTTTGCAGCACCGTCCGAAACATGTGCGACATGTCAGTGTGGCAAGGCCTTGGCGTCCCAGAACTTGAAAGGAGGCCTGGTGCAGCGCGGTGAGTATGCTGCACGTTCCCGCCATCAGGTGCAGCTTCAAGCGATCTGGCCGCCTCTGCTCTGGAGGCGCCTAGCAGCGCCCAGCGCAAGAAATGCTGATGAGCACCAAGGCTACATCTGTAAATGTACTAACTTCGCTGGTACCTGTCAGTAAGAATACGGTTTGCTGGAGGACACCCTCCTCCGTTCCGACGAGGAGGCATGCCCTGGTCACTGATATCACCGTCGATGTGTTTTGTTCATGGCATTCCTCAGGTGGAACTCAACATCTTGAGACACATGCGCCAGTGCAAAGCTTAGAAGATGTGTGCTTGAGCATTGGGTTTGGAACTCGGTCTTCGGCTTGAGTGTTCTCTGAATCAGAAGAACGACGTGTTTGCTCGCGTGGCCAGATCAGTCATGTCGTTCGGTGTCGTGCAGTACCGCAACACACGAACTGAAATATTGCTCTACTTGTCGCGGCAGAAATCTGTAGGTTGGGTGTTGCAGGGTAACAAAATCTGGGGTGCAACGCGTACTGGAAATCCGAAGGAGCTTTCTGCAGTTAGAACTGTCTCGAACCTCTTGAACACTGTCTTGAACCTCTCGAACATAGAGATTCGGATTTCCAAGACAAGCATAAAGCTTGCCCGGGCCCAAATCTACCTTGGCAGAGAAGACATGACGCACAGTGTAACCGCGCCATGGCTATACATGAAGTACACTTGTAAATTGAATCAATCGGGCCTGCCTCCGATTTTGTTCGGCTGCATTGTGCAGCTCTGAGCTGCCAGCTTGCAGGAGTTTGCTGCATCGAGTATTCGCGGACACATACATTGGCGTGTCGCGTGGCATCGCAAACCTTTAGCATGCGCAACAGAGCAAGGAACGCCAGCAGTGTAAATTGAACATGGGATCGGCGGAAAGGCGAGGAAAGACAACACCTTCCTCCTAAACCTAGGACCCAAGCTTTTCTGCTGGTTGTGTCAAGGGTCTTAGATGGTTCTTACTTGGTGTTCTGATGTCTTGGGTCTTCTGAGCGTGACGAGACGATGTGCAACCTTGCCTGCCTGGTGCGAGTGTGAGAGTCGAAACCTAGCTCGAAGCACCTGGATCTGTCCCCTCGTGGCGCCAGTCTGCATATTCCTTTGCGGAAGAAGGAGGGGTTTCCATGCGTTACGTCCGACTCCGGCTCGGCTCGCAGGAGGAAGGAGCAACAAAATACATTGCACTTCTCATTCGGACCTGTCAACCAGCTAGCACTTTGAAAGGCAGTCGCACCAAACGGATCCGGAGTTTGATTCCAATGCATGCAGTGACTGATACTAGTTTGTTTGGGATTGCTCTTAAATCGTTGTTTAACCCACTCTCGGCAAGCTCGATTCTTTCTGCTTGTAAGTTGTAATGGTGTCTCTTTAAGGCTTGCCTTTCCGTTAGGTCGCCCACTTCTGCCCGAAATGAGGACGCGCCCCCTCCCCCCCTCCTTTCCCGAACCCCGAACCCCCCCTTTCCCTCACCGTCTAGGAGTTTGTGGGCGAGGGGGGGGGGGGGGGTCATGTGATGTCTCTGTTTCTCTGTGCCTTTTTCTATGCTAGTGATGCTAGGGAAGGAGGCAGGAGGAGCAGGTGGCAGGAATCTGCCGTATGTATGCGATGTTGACTCAGGATTAAGACGCATATGATTCAGGACCGTCTGCGAAACGTTGCCCGGTGTGGGTGTTCAGCAGAAGAGCGAACAACTGCGAGTTGTGTATGAAGCGCTGTACATTGTGGGATGCGAAGCGAAACAAAATTACCTGGCCTACTAACAATGAATCAACGGCCACGATTAATCAATGCGCTCGATCCCCAAGAGAATAAGAAGAAATGAATAGGCTGCTTGCTGCCTGTTGTTGGCCTGTGCAGAGGCTTAGGAGTGGGAACAGCCCTGCTACCTTGGATGACCTTCAGCAGGTTTTTTGTTGCTGGCATTATTTGCACATATGTTAGCCTTAGCTCCAAAAGCACCATCCACCTGCTTGCGAGAAGGGGGTGATGGCATCAACGCCCCATGCGTAGGATGTCCAAAGCTGTTCAAGCTTACAATCGTTTCCATGCGAAATGCAGCGAGAACTTGCTGGCTTCAAAAGCCTCCACAAGAATGCATGACATGGCGCAGATTGACGCGGAAACAAAAATAGGGGTTCGGGAAGTGGCAGGGGGCGCGGGGGGACAGAGGGTCAACAACGGTTCCAGCCTCAACAGTCATCATAAGAAAAAGTGAGGTCAGCATCACAGAATCGCCGCTGGCTCTGTTTGGACAGTATGTGTGTCTGCTTTTACTCTGACTGCGATGCTCGATTTGAACGAAGTCTCAGGCCAACAGAGATAACCGTCTGAGGCATGTTTCGTGTAAGAGGAGCACTGCACTAGCCGAACAATTAGGGCAGATGCTGTACTTCTGCAATGAAATCACAGCAAAATGCCCAGGACAGCTGAGCGCATGGATGCAAGCGGCACTGCAGACACTTTTGCATTGGACCGCCAGTGTTTGCATTGCTTCGCGCAACTCCAGACTGTTTACCCTTGTTCGATCTTGCTTACAGGACCTTTTGGGGGTTTCAGCTGCTTTGGCCGGGCTGGCTGTGCGTGACCCCAGTCGCAACAACACGAAGGACATTTTTGCTTCAGGCTCAGCTTGATTGATCCGACTTGCATGTCATTGAGCAGGCTATCCAACCTTGCCACCACTAGGTCAACAACATGAAGGGTTTAGTGGACGAGCTCCAGGATCACATACATTCATCAATACAGCCGCACCAGGACCTTGCTCGGCAAACTGAGAATATTTTGCGAGCTCGTTTGAGTAGCGAGGGCGCTCCACAGGAGTATCTCAATGGTCTTTATGGCAGCTTCCAGACCTGCAGAGACGAGCTGTACGCAAGCCTGCGCCTGGTTCGCATCAGAACTCGAGCGGTCAGCAAATTTTGGAGCATCCGCTCTCAGCAGTCCTTACTTCGTTAGTGAGTGGAGGAGCAGCCTGGCGGGCTCAATGAGTGTGCCGGTTGTCCTCTCATGAGGGAACTCCTTGTTCTTGGTCTTCAGCTTCTTGCTTTATTTTTGAAGGTACGGTAGGGTGGTCGGGCCGTCGCGGTTGTGCCTTCGTCGTTTTAGCGAACAGTTATCGTTTGCTAAACGTATTTCAGATAATGGGGCCCAGCCGAAGGGGGCAGGGGAGGGAGCCGGATGGGAAGGCGTCGGCGATGTGTTGGTTCGTCTCTGCATCGGGAGATATCGAGAGATATCGATTCAGCCTGGTGGTACAACCAAGTCGAGGGAAGAGGAGAAGCTAAGCAGCTAATCGCGTAGGATCGGGTTTATTGCCAAGACTCAAACCCTCCTGGTCGTTGTGGTGGTGGTGATGCTGTTGTTTTCGGCAGGTTCGGTGCGGACAATGTCCTTGCAGCAGTCACAAAGCCGGCTTCGAAGACGTAATTGGCTCATGAATGCTCATGATATCTCATGATGTAGATTCTTCGTGGTGTTTCGCTTGCTTGCGGACTGAAGTCCTGGCACTGGAAGAACCTGGACACAGTGCTGCCGCCGCTCTCAGGGCCAAGGCGGGGAAGCAGAACAGCTCTGCCCGCAGCCAAGATAGTAAGCTCAACTTGAGCTGGCCATCGACATGACCAAGAATGTTAAAGTTTCTCTTGGCTTTGCAAGGTCAGTCTTGGGCGAGCGGCGCACGAGCGATGCAGGTCCGAGCAAGCACAGGCTTCGACAGCTTGAGGTTGTGCCTGGCGGTATCTTGAGGTGGCTGGTTGGGGAATTTGATGGAATTAGTTAGTTTGAGCTATGTATGGCATCTGGCAGCGCGGGCTGCAAGGTTCGCGGGTGGGTCGCGGGCGGAATGTGAAGGTCATCGATGGATGTGGGGCGGGACACGGGGACAGGGACACAGGGCAGGGACGTGCGGGGTGCATGTCCTGGCTGTCACGTGCCTAATTGTGTTAGTTTGCACCCGCTGAAATCATTTGCCGTCTTATTGATAACACCTTTCTTGAGTCGAACGCAGGCAAAGACATCTTTGGCGGTCTGCGAAGCTGCAAAGCAAGATCTCGCAAAGGCACGAAGAAAGCCTGACCAGGTGTATAGCGGCATAGGTTGCCGGAGACTTTAATGAGCTGCGAGGCGGATGAGTGTACAGCTTGGCCGGTGATGCAGGTTTGGGCGACACCCTGGGACTCTGGGAGTTCGTGGTTCGGGCTATTCCGGATTATCGCAGACATCAGGGCTAAGGGGTTCCTGCTTTCTCCTCTTGGCGTGTCGATGCCAGTCTAGTCCCCGCTTCTTCTGATTTTCTGCTGGGTACCAGGCACCCCCGAATTCTTGTCAGAGTGCACATCAGACATCCACTAAGGCGAACACCGGAGGCGCAATCTCTCAGACGCATTGCTGGGCAGGTCACTTCGATTCCGGACGCCGGATCTGTTTGCTTGAAGACGGCAGTGGGGGAGCGGAGTCCGAGTCCGCCGCTGTCAGCGAAGCGCGCAATGCCCGTTGATCGCAGGAGACCTACGAGGCATATGTTCGTAGGATGAAGCCGAGCGCTTAGGGGCTTAGCCGTAGAAGCTTCAGAAGCTTACAGTTCCTGCGCATCTTTTCACTGGATGTCCTTGTCGTGGGTTGTGCCTGCAACCGAAGGGAACATTGGGACGATGAGCTCTCCAAGTATGAATCCATGAAGGCACCGATTGCCCCTTCATGCTCTTGATAAAGCAGCCGGATGTGCCTTTTCACGGTAGGCACAGAAGTTGTCTGGTTTGGAGCTTGTCATGTGTCGCATCATCAATGCGACTTTCCAAGCAATCGCAATGCTTCACTAGTTTTGCAGACTCAAGGGGTAGGCCGTGGCTTGCGTTGAAATAGATCTCTCCATGCCGGATCTTCCTCTGGCGGAGAGACAATCGCAAGATGGTGGGGACCAAGGCAAGTGCGAGCTACCAGGCATGCCACAAGCCATTAGCCGGAAGGGAGGATCCAGCTCAGGATTCAGCCCCGGATCCAGCGCAGGATTCAGCCCTGGATTCAGCCCGGGATTCAGCCCCGGATTCAGCACCGGATTCAGCCCCTTTCGCAGCAGCAGGGCGTTTGCAACAACCTGCATGGGGGTGCCGGCTGATCCAAAGGAGGATGCCACTACAGACGATCCCAAGGACGTTGACAAGGACATCCCCAAGAACATTCCTGAGGGCGTTCCCGAGGAGGATCCTGAGGAGGATCCCAATGACGACCACAAGGACGTTCCCGCCACAATTGGCAGCCAAGCAAAGCATACCCTGGTGAAGTCTCGCTTCAGTGTCCGCAACGTCTGCTGCGACGCAGAAGTTCGACTAATCGAGCGGGTCATTACACCTCTCCCTGGTGTGCAGAATGTAGCAGTGAACAGCTTCCAAAAAATATGCATTGTTGAACACTGTTCACCATGTTGTGCGGAAACCATCTTGAGCAAGTTGAACGGAGCAGGGCTGGGTGCAGCTCTTCTTGGACAGGAAGGTGACGAGATCCGCAAAAAGCTCCAATGCCGTGAATGGTGCCAACGCTACACCCGCTACTTCGTCGTGCTTGGCACAGCATTGTGCATGCTTTCAAGCGGCCTTGTTGCCAGTGTAGGTGTGGATGGCCTGGATGGCAGCAGCCTGGAAATCTTGGCAGTTTGCATCGGGCTGCCAGCGATTCTGTGGGAAGCCATGAGGGGCATGAAGCAGCTTCAGCTGGATGTCACTTTCCTGGTGGCAATTTCAGTCTTCGCTGCTGGATGGCATGGCGAGATGTTTGATGCGGGTCTAGTAGTGCTTTTATTCAACCTGGCCAAGATCATTGAGGCGGCAGCCATCCGTCGTGTGGCAAGATCCCTGCGTGTAGTCATGCAACTCCAGACTGTCCGGACTGTCCAACTGGCAAGCAATGGAAAGCAGATAGAGATTTCAGAGTTGAAGAGTGGGGATGTGATCGCATTGCGACCTGGTGAGCAGTGCCCAACAGAGGGCTGCGTGGTTAGCGGGATCGCATCTTGCTCTGAGGCTGCTATGACGGGCGAGGCGACACCACATGAAAAGGGCAGAGGTGCAGCAGTATCTTCCGGCACTTTAGTCCTCAATGGTTATATTGAAGTCAAGCTCACCAAGCCAGCCTCCGAGTCCCAGTTGTCTGAGATTGAGGGCAAGGTGCAGGAGGCACAGACCAAGCGCACTGAGAGGCAGATGATGATCAGCAGATTCGCGCAACGGTGGACCCCAACAGTCCTGATAGTCGCGCTCCTAACCGCGTCGAAGCCTGCGATCCTGGGCGGTGACTATGCTGAATGGCGGCATCGAGCCATTGTGCTACTGCTGATCGCATGCCCTTGTGCCATCGTAATCGGTGCGCCGCTGGCAACCACTTGTGCAATTGCAGCAGCAGCTGCGCAGGGCGTGCTGATCAAGCGGCCAGACACAGTGGAGCGCTTGCCAGGTGTAACCACAGTTGGTTTGGACAAAACTGGGACACTCACCAAAGGTGAGATGACTGTTCTCCACGTCAAATCCCTGGGCTTGAACGACAAATGTGACAAGTGGGAAGAGCAGGAGGCTCTGAAGTTAGCTGCTGTTTTGGAAATGAAGTCTGCGCACCCCATTGCTGCTGCCATCGTTTCAAGGGCTTTGGGCCATGTCGCTGATGCATATGGATCTGAGTTGGGCGTTGTGAAGAAGGTTCGCAACATGCCCGGTGTGGGAATCCAAGGTCATCTGGTCGTGAATGGCGATAAAGAACACACAGTCCTTCTTGGAAATAGCAAGGCTCTGGACATGGTGAAGGCTGATGCAGAGACCAAAGCAGAATTTACAACTTTTCAAGAGATGCACCAGAACGACACAACGATCGCTTTGATCATTGATGACAAACTGCAGTATGGCATCGCTTTGAATGACACGCTGCGGCCAGAGGCAGTCAGGTTTGTCGAAGAGCTCAAAGGCTTGCAACTGCGGCCCTACATGTTGACTGGAGATTCTGAGTCTGCAGCCATGCACATTGGCGGTTGTCTCGGCCTTGATCCAGGATTGTGTTGCTTTTCTATGGCCCCCGAGGAGAAGACTGCGTGGGTTGAGAGTCAGCATGCAGCTTGCAGAAAGACACTCATGTTGGGGGATGGCATCAATGATGCGACGGCTCTTGCCGTAGCCAGTGTGGGTGTTGCGATTGGCGAGACTGGTGCTGCTCTTGCTGCACAATCGGCAGATGTCGTCTTGCTCACAGACAAGCTACACAAGCTCTCACAGTGCATCCGTATGTGCAGGTATGCTGTTCGAATCGAAAGACTGAGCATAGGGATTCCCTGTTTCCTCAAGCTTTTGCAAGGAATTGCAGCTGTGTATGGCCAGCTTGACTTGTGGATGGCAGTTCTGGCTGATTCAGGAACTTTAATTTTCGTCTTAGCTTTAGGAATGTCGATTTTGTCCCCCAGGTTTTGGAAGGAAGGCCCTGGAGCCGGCGGCAAAGCCGCAAGGCGGAAGGGCTATGAAGAGCTCGTTTGATCTGGGCGCCCCAATTCTCTCGTCTTAAATCCCTTACGCCCTTCCTCAAGGGAGGGGCCTTTGCGAGGCATAAGGACTAGCCTGTCTGTAGAGTCCCAGAATTTTCCTGAGTTTTTAAACCTTTGGCGATCTGGCTGCACATGCACGCGATGACAAGAGCAAAGCTCAAAGATCTCGCGGGAGGGGAGGGGAGAGAGGGAGGGAAGGAGGGAAGGAGGGAGGGAAGGAGAGACGGAGGGAGGGAAGGAGAGACGGAGGGAGGGAGGGAGGGAGGGAAGGAGAGAGAGAGAGAGAGTGCGTGTGTGTGTGTGTGCGCGCGTGTGTGTGTGTGTGTGTGTGTTTTGTTTGTGTTTTCGTTCTGCTCACTGCGCTTACCTGGCTCAATCTCGTGTAGGTCCCGTGTAGGTCAACAGTCGAATCTCGGGATGATGTCGAAGGCGTTGGCAGCAGGACTGGGCGCTGTGGCAGTGCAGCTCTTTTCCAGCCTGGCGCCCATCCGTGCTTCCTGGGGCTGGACCGTGACATGGAACCTGACAGTACCACGTGGCGACTTCAGCTGCCAGGAGGGCAACACTTTAACTTTGGAAGGTGAGGCTTTTTCTGCTGTGGCTGACTTCACCTGCACTCTGGTGCCCGACTCTGGCAAAACCTGTGATGTGGGCAGCATTAGAATGAGGTGCTCTGATCCAAAAGGAGAGCCGCAGAGCTTTCATCCTACAGCTGGAAGTTGCGTCCAGAGCGGTGCCTATGCAAACTCGAACGTGACCCTCTCGTGGTCTCAAGCTCCGGCTTGCACCGCATCGGCAGAGTTCAGCAGTGTCGCTGAAGCCAGCGGCAGGACGGTGTGCGCTTTGACAGCTTTGCTTGCCGTGATGAACTTGTGAGCCCTGCTGAGACCTTTCCTTGGGAGCATAGCAAGCAATAGTTTGAACACATTCGGCATCTCTTAGTAGTTGTTAAGTTTTTTTAAATGTAGTTTTCGGCCGTCTCTGCTTAAGGCAGCGTGGTGCTTGCATCTTCGCCTCTCGGGCATCTGGAGGTCAAAACGCGCTTGCAAACTGTTGCAGAATTCATCTTCGTGTTCGGGTTCAAAAGATATAGGTCTACACTGAGAGCTTTAAGGTCACGCGACATGTTGGAGATGGAAGGAGAGAAAGGCAGTATTGGAGAGCACAGCACATGAAACTGAAATCCTTCGTTCTGCTTCTACAACAAACAGGTTGGGGAACCAGCCCGGAAAGGGTTCAAGTGGAAGGATGTGCGCTTGCCCAACGACTATCTGATTGTTGCTAAGTTAGTTTCTACAATTTCAACACTCCAAACCTTTGATCTCTGGTACGGCTTGAACGGAAACACTGCAAGCAGTACAAATATGACTGCAACCTAGTTCAAGCATTAAATTTCTAGTTTCAGCCCCCTCCCGTGTTTGGCTCGAGGCTGACGAGGAACAGGAAAGGACAAGATCAGCTGATCAGCTCAGCCCTGCAATCCCACACCCAGCGGTCTGGTGCAGGCCAGCTGCTCGACAAAAGCCATCGCTCCTGCAGAGGACGGCTGCAGATGTTAAGAGATCCTGTCGCACAATACTGTTGCGTCATGAAGTAGTGTACTGTTGCAGAAGCTGTTGCATCAAGGACTGCTCCAAGGAGGAGGCAGGTGGCTGATGTGGCTGTCACTCCTAACCTGCCTGTTGTCATCTTCAAAAGCAACTCTAGTAGGCTCGACACAGACCACGCATGTTCCCCATGAATCAACATAGTTTCTCGACTGCCTCGCGACACACTGGCCAGACTGGCCTGGAGAGCAAGAAGTTGGAATGCGACGGTGTGCAGAGCACCTTCGAACGCGGCTTTTGCGACCAAGCCGTGCAGGCTCCAATAACCTGTGTTAATATAGGAAATGACGTGTTTCGGCGTGCAACCCAATTGATCGACACGAGACGGACAGGCCAACAAAGCCTGGTACAAGTATCTCGTGTGCTACCGCGCGGCCGGGAAGGGCATCTCGTGCAACTGCTGAGGATTTACTTTCGAGCATGGGTAGGCGAAATCTTCGTACGAAGATGCCACCCAGACCGCCAAGACGATCGTTGACTCAAAGACATGAACTTAGCAACTGCAAGCGGCATGCGATGGCACATTAGCCGCGGCTCTTCGCCCAAGGAGGCTGAACCTCGATGCCTCGCACCGTATCGAATGCCTACTAAAGGACTGAACAGCATCGGCACTGCATATGACTAGGCGAAATCTACTTCCTGTCAGGTGTTTTCCAAAAAGCACGACGCAGAAGCGGCCCTCAGAGAGTGCAAGCTCATGGATCACAGCTGGAGTCTCAGCCAGGGAAGTGAATCAATGCATCTGAATATAATGCTGCAGGGTGAATCCTGGGACTCTGAATCGGGGAGAAGCATTCCCTTCGGTTACAGGTGCGGAAACTGAGAAGATCCAGGTGCAGCTCCAGAAGGCGCCATCTCTCAGAGAATGCGTTCAGAGGCTTTTGACAAGGCTTTTGGGGGACCTATCGTACCGTGTCGTAATCACATCGCACAGTTCATGGTTCCGTATAGTCACTGTCGTACTTGTAGCTCTGTATGTCGCCAGGTCCCGGACGCGGAGACACCGTTGCGAGCCTACGAGGGCGCTCTCTCGCAAGCCGGCTTGCGATGCTCTTTGCAATACAGCCAGGCCGCCTTCCGTGATCATTCCAGGCGATGCTGCATTTGCCAAGGAGCCGTCAGAGACTGAAGGCATGTGAAGGCCGCAGGAAGGCCGCAGGAGCAGGCGGAGCAGTGGCGGAGCATCGCAGGAGGAATACGTGAACTTGGCCAGCGCGGCATCTGCTCCCCAGACCTGTGCTTTGCCTTTTCAATTGGCAGCTTGGCCGAAGCTTCTTGTTCTCTTGGGTGAGTGCGAATACGACTGCATCTCCTGGCAGGCAATGTGAGGCACCCGATCAGGTTTGCCATGGAAAGCGTCACAGCTGGCAGATATAGGTAGTGATTGATTCGCGCCGAAGGCGCAATCATTTTCCCTTGAATAGGTACCATGTTTGTTTATTGACAACTCAAGTTTGTCTCGGTGCAGCCGCGTCGTTACAGTGACTGTGAGTGGGGCGCACCATCGCGCAGACAGAAAGACTCGCGCTTGATGCAGACTTTTCTGTCAGGTGTCGAGCAAATTCTGTAAGCCAAACGCCGCCATTCGGTGATCGAGTGTCCAGTTGTCTGTTTGCCAAGCCTGTGCAGCCCGGTCAGGCTACAGCGGATTTACTGACTGAGGCGGTTGGTTTCGTGGAAAAGTGGTAGGCTAGTTAATTAATTTCAATCTGTTGCAGACGGAATCGGCCTGATGGCACCACGCCGTCATCTGCCGAGCACCGTGAACCCGACCAAGAGATGCAACATTTGGAGCGGCTGTTGACGGCTTTTGAGGCTTCAGGCTCAGTTGCTGCATCGTGTTGCTCGAGCCAAAGTGCTCAGCCAGATCAGCTCGAGATTCGGCTGCCTACAGCAGACCGGAACTTGGAATGGCCGTCGCCCCACGGATGTGAAACCACACTGGTGTCGGCCACGGTGCTGTTGATGAATGTTTCGCAGGAGTTGTGAGCTTGGGCGCTTGATCTGTCCAGGATCCGCGACGGACCTGCGAAATGCGAAGCATTCCGTTCCAGATCGTTACACAGTTTGCTTTAGAGCCAATAGGATGGCACAGGCTGTCGCGAATGCGGAGCCTGCCTCTCAATGCAGGATTTCCTGCTTTGTGCCTTCTTTGCCACGGTCAGGAGGCAGAACCGTAAAATCGTGCCCTGTGCAACCGTGGAACGAAGCTCAACTATTCGTTTGAAACGCCAAATAGTTTAGGCTTCACACGGTTTTGTTGTGAAAGTCTCGCAGGAGCAGTGCCTCCTTTTGGCTGATGGGTTGGACGAGCAGCTCCTCCAAGAGCAGCCAGACGAGGCTTCCTCGGCCATGTTTATCTGTCGAGTTGCGTTTCTTCACTGACATGTCCGTGATCTTTCCACATGAGGTGCTGTGCACCCGCTTTGGTGCTGAACTGACACGGCGGCATCTGCCCAGCCCCCATTTGTACCATCTCGTAGCTGCTTCTTCTGCAACATGTTTTTTTTTAATGTGTGTGTATATATATATATGCTTAGGCCCAGGGAAGTCTGGGGGGCAGACCAGGCCTAAACAATCTTGTACACCTTACACGGGGCAACCAAAGCAACGGAACCACAGCAGCGTGCTGATTGGCTGGCTGTCGATAAATGCGCGGAACAGCTCAAGTCATATCACGTCCATGTCTTAGTCTTCAGTGCGTTAAAGTGCCATATCTGAAGGTGTCCCTTGGTTTGGCATTGCTTACGCTGGGGCATCACGCGGCGTCGGTGTACATCAGTAGCATTCAGTAGCCGTTGGTAAAGTGAACAATTGAAGAGCTTGTGGATACCAATGATACCAGACGAAATCAGACTTTCCTAAATCCCACGCTCCATGAATCATGGAACTGTTCAGACCTTGAGCCTCACTTGCTTTAACCTTGTCGAGACTCTCGGTCCTAAAGAGCTTTACATGTATCACCATGGTCACCCTGTCACCGTGTATCAGCAGCTGTACTTGGAGGACCTACTCCTGGCCTTCTGATTTCCACAGTCCTGGGTTCTCTGGGACCGTTTCGCCATACCGGGCCGGCAAAGCCTGAACGTATTGGCAGAGTCTTTATCATTCAGCTACCCCCTCGTTCAGGCCCCTGGAAACCGCGACATACCGCAACCAGCTGCACTTCTCGGAAGTAGCGAATCCCTCAGCCCTGCCACGTAGTTTGTAATTTGCATGTCTGCTGCATCTATCTATTGACACTCTGCCTCGGCCTCGCCCGGTCCCTGTAGCGGGAGAATCTCAGCTTGACCGATTCAGGATGACAAAAATGACGGTGATGTAGACCCTGCACGACAGCTCTTCAGGGCTCGTTCGTGTTCATAATCGTCATCAGGGGACTCGTTTCTCAATGAGTGGACTGGTGGCATTTGGCGGCTGGAGACCTGTGTGCCAGATACCTTCCTTCCTTCATGACATGTCTCTCTCTCTCACACACACAAACACCGTGCGACGGCAATGATTCTCTCCTGCGCTTAATGATAAGTGGAGCTGTGATCTCCGGCTCGTCCTGATGCTGTCTTCGTCGCTGATGGCGTTTGCAGCACTTCACAAACACGGGATCGGGGCTCATCTCACCGAGCTCCTGCACCCTCAAGATATCGAATTCAACCTCTCTGCATGTACACGCACTTGTGCTGTCTGTCTGTCTGTCTGTCTGTCTCAGACCCTGGTGCTTGCGCTGTGGTGGCTCGCAGGACACACGCCTCGCAGTTTCCTCGCGCATGCTTGGCCAAAAAAATGCATGAAGGCGGTTTCCGAAGAAGTTGCTACTCGTAAGTAGATGCTAAGTGGCACCGGCCTTGTTCCGGCCTGGCGGCTGTGGCGCCGGGGTGTCGGCGTCGGCGGCACCGGAAGCTTGGCCAGGCCCTTCTGCAGGGGTCCGTCGATGAGCAAGGACAACAGGGAATACCGTCTTCAGCTCGAGCCCTGGGTGATATTGGCTCAAGCTCTTCCGCACTTGCCCAGGCGCTGTGGCACAGTTTTCGCGCCAAGCATGTTGCGACTTGGTGGGCTCGAGCCCGCCCGGCCACTGAGTGCACCAAAGAGACATGTGCAAGTGGCGACGCCGTGGAGAGCAGCGTCCATTGGTGATTCGGCCAGGACCACCCAGAGGAGATGGGCGCCGAGCAGCATCCGGCGGAAAGTGTGGGATGCTGCATCTTTCTGCAGCGATCCGCTGGTTGCCAGCGTTGGCTGGGCAGCTCTTCTCTCGGGCATAACTGTGCTTAGGGTGGCGATGGACGATGACGAAGACACGCCGAGATCATTTCTCAAGAAGCGGAGGAGAATGCGGAAGTTGCGCCAGGACTCGGCTCCCATTGTTTGCCTCGGGGACAGCATAACACGCGGCAACCTATCCACAGACTGGGTGAGCTCTTTGAGGGAGGAGCTGAACCAAGGTTTGGTGTTGAACGCTGGCATCAATATGCAGCTTTGGCGCAGGGTGGAGGTAGCTGTCCTTTTGAGATCTTTGCTTGAGCCTTTCGATCAGCTTCGATAAGATGCCATCTCTTGTCCGATTGTTTCCTGAGGCAGTGCTCCCAGAACATCCAAGAGCGTATTGGCGAGGTCATTCAATGCAAGCCCTCTCACGTCACAGTGCTTGTGGGGACCAACGACCTGAAAGCCGCCCTCTCGCCCGTGGAAGGCCAGGCTTGGCGCCGCAATTCCAGTTCTATTTGAGTAATATCTTCCCATGATCAATGCTAGGTGGCGGGGTACTGTGATGCTGCACTTGGGGTTTCGGTTTGCATGTGGAGCCTCCGATCTCTTGGTGCACGACCCATGCTTACCGGCCTGCCACCACTCGCTCGCGAGAGCAACTAGCCGGGAGAGCCGGGAGCCCAAAGAGGCTTGTCGGGGCCGGTCCAATCTCCCGGTCCCAGGAAAAGTGCCTAGGCCAAGACGAAGACAACAGGCAACAGAAGGAAAGTTCGGGCAGCACGCTGATGGTTGCTTTCGGCAGACATCGCATCCCGACAAAACCCCCTCCCTGCAACAAGCACAACCGCTTCAGGGCTGTGAATTCTTGCTGCGATGGCCCCCCGTGCTGCACGCCCCACATGCCTTCCTTTCAAGTTTCAAGCTTCAGGATTCATGTATCAAGTCTTCGGCCAGCTGCCAGAAGTTCCATCGCTGGAGTCCTACGAAAGAACTCTACGAGACATCAAGGAGCGTTTGATCGACGCAGGGGCCAACGTTGCCCTCGTCTCTCCGCCCGTGCTGGGAGAGGACCGGATGGACAAGAATGATTAGATAAAAAAAGCGTTCTGATTTGTCTTAACCCACTCGTCTTTGGCATATTGACGAACGCAGAACAATAGCAACACGATAGAGGCTGCCGCCAGTTCACCGGGTCATCCCAGCACACATTCGTCTCAGATGTTTAGCTTTCTCTGTTCCGATATGAAGTATTGCTGCTAAATCGCTCAAGCAATCGCGAGGACCACCAGTCGGAGGCCAACAAGAGAGCGGCCGAGTTTGCCTCCGTCGTCCGAAAGGTCGCCGAGTCCGGGGGTAAGATGTGCACCTACCTACCACTCTTTGAGATGACCTATGCCGCCCTACCAAAGGGAAGGCTTGGAAGGCCCTACTGTGGGATGAACTTCTTCGCCTGGTGTTGCCTTCTGTGCTGGGACATGCACATCCTGCAACGGGACCCTGCAGACATTCAGCGAGAAAGGAACTTGGACGTGACTTTGGACTTGGTTCATCTCGGGCCTGGGGCAGCAAAAGGGCTTGCGGATATGGTGCAGAACTTTGTGCGTGCCCATCCATCCCCACTTTCGGCTCCGCAGGTCATTTCTGATTTGCGTGCCCTTCCTATGGAACCCTGAGGCTTGCCATTTCTTACCAGGCTACCCAGCATGCTCTGCAGATTCGGAATCACGGAACATGCATTTCCAGTCCAGTAGCTCACCACTCAGCGCAGCAGTGTTGGTGAAAATCTTGCATTCTGCCACATAGTGGCTTGTGACAGCTGCATGCTGGACTCTGGGCTTCACCACCTGCCCGCTGGGATCACAGTTCGTGCTCTGTTCTCGATTGATTTCGTTGAATGCAAAGCCTTGTTGGATCCCACTGTGCACGCTCACCACCTGCGTTTTCCTCTGAAACAGCGTAATAGCTGTATGGGCTTTGCCCTGCATGACTTCTGAGAGGAGTCTGACACCAGCACCCGTACATCAGTTTCTTTGTTTACAGGTATCGGTCTGGTGGAATCGGTTCCTCCATGAAAGTGTTTGAAGGATTGAATCTTCGTGCCGCATTTTCATGCTGGAGGCTCGGGGACCAACTTTTCCGCATCCTCCGTAAAGCCGTTCCAGCCGTCTTGGCCACGGCAGCACTTCACTCACAGATGCGCGTCTCAAGAAGCATCAAAGTTTTGGCCTGGCATGGCCGTGAAATTGTACTTCTGTATCGGTTGAAGTTGTACTTCTGTATCGGTCGCTGATACGTGCTGTGGAGTGCCAGCTGCCATGCACGTCACATTCTCACTCAAGTATACCAGACCCGTGCGATGCGCAACGCATTGAAACATCAGCACACATTTGTCTGCATCCTGTGCATGTGCCAGCCGAGACATCGCTACAATCCGGTACAAGTTGCACAAGTCATCGCAAGTCTAAGCCTGCGTAGTGCATTAATCAACTCACTCCGCTTGCATGCTGTCCTGCAGGACCCAGGACGCCGGGTTCCGCGCACGGCCGGCTGGAGCCGCTGAAGTGGAGAACTGCTTCAGATACAATGCTTCCCGTTCTTCGCTGGGACAAAATTGCGCGGTAATGTGTCGGCAGCACTGTTAAGACTTACTTCGCCGTTTGGACTTGTACTGTACCTCGCATCCGAGGTCGTGCCTTCTTCCCGACCAGTGGCTCAATGATGAGGCTGAACGGGGTGCACGTGCACGTGTACCCTCACGACCTGACAACCCATGCCCACCACGCACGCCCAAACCCAGTTTCATCAGCACCTGTTCGGGCCTTCGTTAGAACCCGCAGCCATCTTGGCATCAGATACTGGTAACAGCCAGCTCTTTCCTTCTGGGCTCACGTTTGTTTGGCCAGGTAGTCTCTGAAGACGACTTGACTGACGTAACTACTTGTGCACCCAGAGCTGAACACGTCGTCTGTGCCGTGGCAACAGGGCTTCGCTGCGCCAATTTTGCTTGACCACGCAGTGCACTGGCTGGGATGAGTGTGAGGGCGGCAGGTCAGTGTGCCCGTCACCTGGAACTAGGACCAGTGGTCTAGGTGCAGGTGCATTTACCGTTCACATTCAGTTTTCCTCACCCCAACGCCATGCCTGCGACCATGGCCGAGTGCAAAGAGGCGGGCGGATGGGACTGGAAGCGACTGGATGCAGATCTCAGACGGCAGGCGTGTCCTCTAGTCTACTCTGAGACTAAATGTGACATCAGGCCATCAGGCACAGCGCGTCTCAGGAGTTGGGGCCTCAATTTTCGGCTGTGACAGTTGCAGAGCATGGCCTTGGGCCGGGCTTTGATGTCGCAAGCATTGGCGTGATGCTTTCCAGCATCGCATTAGCGACATGCCCTTTTGCAGCAAGCTGAGCTGCCGTATCGGACCAGCAGCTGGTAGGTCTACTGACATCGGCGTGACTCCATGACTCTTTGGCTCTTGCTGTTGGTTGCTTTCGCTTGCGCTGATCCATTGGGGGAGGAAATCTATAAGAAGTTCGTGGAACTTCGGCTGATCTTAGGGCATGATGATGTTGAGGTGTGCTTCCTGGCTGAGATTGCTTGCCAACCCAGGACATCAGCCGCGTGCTGCAATTCAAATATTCGCCAGATGCCTTGGAATATATTCGCGATTGGGTACAGGAGGATATCACAGACTGGGCTCCTCAGGGGGAGCAGGCGCTGCGAAAGCACATCGTCACCTTGATGTACGGCGACGATGACGACGAGAAGATCCGAGCCGTCCTTGTTTACAGCAATGTTTGCGAGATGCAAATGATGTTGGGCTCTCAGCTCTTCGCAGATGAGGCTCACGCTATGCAAACTAACCCCGGCATCGCCGCTGTCCTTCATCAATTGCATATCGGCACTGACGATCAGAATGCATACGGACTAGCCGATGCAGTGCACAAACACTTAAACTCAACTGCAGATCTGTCGTTGTTTGGAAGTCAGATGCAGGCTGTGAGGGATCGCATGCAAGACCGAAGGGACTCGGAGTTGTGACTCGCTGTTTGGATTTGTCTTCTCCAGGGAGTGAAGCCGCAGACAGCAATGGTGTGAACAGACGCTATCAGCTGCTGGTGCTGCTCAGCAGCAAGTCAATGCAGAAGGCACTGCATCCAGGACTGGCAAGCGCTGCTTGGAAGGTTGGAACGGTTGGTGCATGCCCACTTCGCCGCTGCACGGAGCGAACCCAATCAGTGCAGCAATGACTTGAGTTGGGAATGTAACGGTTTCACAGCTCGGTCTGGAGACGCTCAGCCCTCGCAGCGACAGCGGAACATGCCATACAGTACGAGATGCAGGAGACATTCCACTCTGTCTCCTAGGTGCTGTGAGAGTGCGCTTCCCACAAACAGCTAGCAGCCAGCATATCCACCACAGCCGCAGAGTGTGCAGGATTGCAGGTACAAATTGCGCGCGGGTTCTTGCATGATCTCGCACTTCCATCCGCGACTTGAGTCTAAGATGTCAAGCTCCACAGTAAGTTGTTTGCGAAACGGAGGCTTTGTGCATTCCTGTAGGAACGGTCAGAGTTCGGCTGCAGGGGACTTGCGGCAGCTATGAATAGGGTATGGATAGGTGTCCGTTTCGTGGCGGGGTTTTAACTGTAACCGTCAGAGATCAACTTGGAAGATTCTCGCTGGACTGCTGTTGACTACTCGATGGCCGGCTAGTGCTCCAGATCAACTCCGAGCTACTTCTGCGAGGCGACGTCGCCGCAGACAGTACGCAGACAGCTGGTGATGTACCTATTTGTTCCTATTCCTTGCTTTCGGCCCTGTTGGCCCGACATGAAACAGGATACTTTGAGAGACCATGCCTCAGTCCATGCGGACAAGTAACCATTTTTGCCAAAGGTACAGATGGACTCACTTGACACTACACATAGGACGGTTGGACCTCGGCTGCCCAGCTGTTCTACGCTTGCCGTGTTCCCCTTGCCACTGTTCCACATGCCATGGCGGTTTCGGGCAAAACTCGGGCACTGTCGCGACCGACCAGCGCCTCGACTCGGCCACCCAGTGCAGGAAGCGTGCGAGAAGGATCTCCCGGTCTTTCGAGTCTGAGTCAGCGGCCGACCAGTGCTGGGAGCACCTCCGCCGCCTCCGCCTCTCTATATCGACCAACCAGCGCCGGCACTGTGCAAGGCTCCGAAGTGTCGAGCAGGCCTGTCAGTGCCAAAAGCCAGGCTGGCCCGATCAACACAACCACATGCAGAGCTTCCCTGGAAGCGGAGGAGTCCGTGAATACTGGGCACACAGCACGAGGTGATTCACCATCAAGAGGCGGTCGGCTTCTGGGCCCGCATTCGCAAGACAATGCTATAACTCAAAGCTCCGACTTCTCCCGCCGCGCAGTCGAGGAGGAACTGCAGCAACCAGTCCTAACACCTATTCCAAACTCGATAGCAACACCGCTGGAGAGGCAGATGGGCACTGCAATCGGACTGAAAGGCAGAAATCGGTTGGTGCCTCGACTTCCCCGTGATGTCGTACAGTGCCTGCACGGTCAGAACTGTTGTTGGCGGTGGTTGGCGAGAGCAGCCATGGAAGAGATATACTGCGGGAGCTTGGCATGCGTGAGCCTTGCGGATGGTGTGACCATGATGAAGGAGGATTGTTACGAGGGGGAAGCGGTAAGCAAAAGGGTACGCAGTCTAATGGCGGCACAGAGTGCCCACACAAGCATGCCAGTGCCGGAAATTTACTGACTGTACTGCTGAAGAGAAGCACGGCAGCTGCAAGCATTCAAGTCCAAGCCTGAAGTGTTTCTTGCTAGCCCGCAGCCTGCACTTGTCGAAAGGAGCTGGTCATGCTTAGGGAGGAGCATGCCATGAAGGAGACAGAGCGAGGTCGTGCGGAGGCAGCTTACAGTACGTGCGTAAACGCTTTTGCTGCATTAATGCATGACAGCTTAGTGCAAGGGAGATTGCTGTTTGCCCAGGCCGCTGAAGAAAATCTCGCCTCCTTGAAGCAGCAGTTGGCTGCAGCTAAAGTTGATCACAAGGAGTTCAGGCCGGATCTTTTTGATTGGGGTTCCCTCGCCAATGGAATTGCAATGTAGCACAGGGCCCTTGAGCGAGCTCACGGTCATTTACAAGAGGAGGCTGCTTCCCTCCGAGTGTCCCGAGGCTCGGGATGTGGGGACAGGTGCTAATCGCAGATGCGTTTACGTGAGTAGCAAGTCAGGAAGCCTCCTGGCTCAGCTGGAAGTACAGAAGAAGGATTCGGCACGCGAAATAGAGGCGATCAATGGCAAGGCACGCGCTAGATAGGCTAGTTGAACTCCATCATAAAAAAAGCGTACTTGTAGAGACGAAAGTATGTTGTAGTCCGTGTTGACCTCATTCTATCGAGGCCGATGCTGAAGCATCAGCCCTACGCCTTAGAGCAGAACACGCGGAGACGGAGCTCGCGAAATTGCAGGCCGAGGGCAAGCAGAAACTGTTGATCCGCCAGGCTTCAGAAGCTTTTAGCTCAGGCAACCGAAAGTGAGCTACGGCAAACAGTGGCAGGGCTGATCCAGGGAAGGCGCCCGTGCCGTGAACGCACCATCAAGCCAAGCAGAAGCCGCGCCGCCTTGCAGGGAAGAGGCAGACAGGAAGAAGCTGTCAACAGTTGGGCCCCGCCGTTTCAGGGCTCGCCGAGGAAGCGGCTTGGATGCCTGAGAAGAAATTCCCGGGCAGAGTTCTTGCATTGTGCTGCATACATGCTCGATACTCCGAGGAAAAAGTAGCACGAAAAAGGATTCTGGCTCGCGCTCCCAATCTCGGCGAGGGGGCAAGCAACGCGGGCGACGCTAATGCGATCTAATGAGTCAAGATGTGCACGTTAGATGTTGCATGCAGTAGACTGGGGATCCTTAGAAGCGCCAAGTTTCTCAATGGCGAAAAGGTGTCTCACAGAGCCATGCAAAGCAGGCTCTCGACCGGCTGAAGCCAACAGCGCAGATGATCAACTTACGGTCTTTCTGCAAAAGCATGAAGTAAAAGTGCTGGCGAGCATGCATCTATCATATCTATCCACATCTGCTGGAAAAGATTCTGTCTTTGCGCTGCCTCCTTGATAGCATGAGTTCTGTCACTTCCTGACGGTTAAGGCCAATGTAAACAGAGACATCGGCAGGGCTTGATCGATTGCAGGCATCCGGGCTGCAGAATTGTTGTGCTTTGTTGCATCAGACTATGTGGGCATGTCGCTGGGCCATGATTAAGTTTCAGATCAGAGCGGCTGGAGACAACGTTGAGTAGTTGGTTGAGGTATGCGGAGATGCGACCCAGCGAAGACCTTTGTCACAGTTGGCGCCAATGCAATGGTGGAATGAAAGGTTACGCCTGAGCATACCGCGCAACTGCCGTGTCGACCCAATACAATTGGGGCACGCGCAGCATAATTGCCAAGCATGTTGAAATTCTCTGAGCATTGTGTCCGTACCGGCACGTGCCAATGCGACGCATACCAAACACAGAGTATTCAGATTCCGTCGGCAGGCACATGACCTGAGCACATGAGCCGACGAGTAGTGCTGCAGTGTTTCGTGAACTGCAAGTTGTCCGGCTGTCAGTCCACGGATGCTTGCAACTGCATATGGTCACACTGCCTCCAAGGGTTGCTTTGGGGCATGTATCCCACATGCTGGGTGCCGTTTGACTGCAGGTCGTGAATTGCTACATGAAGCTTCTACAGGCTCGGCTGTGGCAATAATGGGTAATACGTCGAGATAATGGTGTCAGTCCGATAGGCCCACAGAACCTGGCACTGTGTTGTTGCATGGCTAGCACCCGACAGCACGTAGCGGCAGATCAGGAAGGCAGAACGCAGGGTATTATATTGCTTTTCGAAAGTATGTGTTTCTCTTTTTGCGGGGACTTTCATGAGAGTTCTTGATCGTGTTTGAAACCCAGCGAGCCTCACACATGGCCGTATTGTTATCTCTCGAGCTTTTCAGGAACCAGCTAGGACATGGGACGCCCGGCGCTGGGGGTTTCGTATCTCATCTGGCACCTGTGTGGTTTCTTAGGCGGCTACCTCTCCAGCGACCTTGTCCAGGGATATCAAGTGCAGCGGGAGCTCAAGGAGAGCACCGAGGTGGTTGCTCTCGCTGCCTCTAAAGCGGCAGCTGCTCACTGCGTGGACGCCTTGGAAAAGGTCTGTTGCCCTGAAGAACGAAAACCCAGCTCTGGGAGGAAGCGTCCTGCTGGGCCCAAACCCGCGGCCTCTAGGGATTACAGCTGGGTTTGGGTTTTGATTATCTGTCTGTGCAACTGGCTGGTTGGAGGGCTGTGCTCGCTGTGCTACTTTTGCTGTCGGCGATCCCCGTCCCTTGCAGATCCCGAAGAAGAAGAGGAGTCGCCTAGAACTCCCTCGGAGCAACGAGTGCTAGCTCAGCAGCAGCTGGCAGCTTTGCGTCTGAGGCGCCATGACATTGGTCGATCGTCGGGTACTGGTGCTCTATGATGTGCCGGGGGCCGCCCTCTGGCATGAACGTCTGGTCTTGCAGCATGCAGCCGGGGAGGACTACGCTGTGGTTACTCCCGATCGGGACATTTTCATCGAGACTCTCTCATTGGCCAACGATGATCTCAAAGGATTGCGGCTGCTTTCAGTGGGGGGAGTTTTGCCAATAGGGCTTCGAGGCGGTTCAGTGTATCGGCTGCCCGCCTTCACGGTGGCAGAGATTGCCGGCTTCAAGGCGCGAGCTGCTGTGGCAGTTGCCGCGGAGTTGGCCGCTGCGGGCGTTGCTGCTGCAGCGCCTGCTGCGGCTCCTGCTGCCGACCTCGGTGCTGACCGCGCGGCGGGAGCTGGAAGGGAGCCAGGTGCTGCCGCGGATCCGGAGGACCTTTGCTGGGTGGCTGCCGAGGCCGCTGGAGGCCTCAGTACGGGGACTTGGTGCAGGGAGTCAACGAGGCGGCCGTCGATGGGGCAAAAGCCGTTCATGTTACAGCGGCGGGGACGCGTGTCTTTGTCGCTTGCATTCGCAGCCGGGATCGGGCGGCTTTCCTCAGGATTCCCGGAGGTTGGGATCATCGAATTGTCGAGCGAGCCGGTGAGGAGTGTGGTCGTTCAGAGGCTCCTTTGAAGGATGTTGTGAAGCTTTGTTCTGAGGTCCCGGTGCAGTGGGGCCTTTCCGGGCCTCGCACCGCCAGGTGGTGTCTCCAGTATCTCATCGTGGAGGGGCTCGGCCTGGAGGGGCATCACGAAAGGGTGCGTCAGCTCTGTAAAGTGGATTCTTCTGCATGGGGGATACAGGAGCACTGGCAGCTCAGCAACGTTATTAAGCATTCGCTGCAGACTGATCAGCTCAACTGCTGCAATTTCTGTCTCTGGAGGTTATGTTCCGCCGTCTGCAAACCATCGAGTACGCCTACAGCGAGAAGGCCAAGGAGAGTGAGAGCAGGGCAGTGGGCGGGCGACTTTCTCTAGAAGAGCAACAGACATTCGGGGGTACCACCCCTCTGGCCTCGACTTTGATGGTGTGCCCGGAGCTGTTAGAGCATGTGAAAGCTGAGGTTGAACGTGATGCATCCTTAGCAAAGAATCTCAGGAAGGCCAGAGAGGAACGTGAGCTTGCCCGTCGTAACGCCAAGAAGGGCGGGAAGGCGGGCGATGATGGCCAGTGAATGGCGGGGGGCCGGGCACTTTAGGGGGATGCCTGGCCTGCACTACGACCCCCCTATGCATGATTTTCAGCGAAAACCGCGGGATTTGTTTCCTCTACCTCATCTTGAAGATGTGGGGCCTCCTCCTCCCGATATTGGTCGAAAGTGCCAGCGCCGATTTCATAGGAGAGGCCACTTGGTGAAGGAGGCAAACCGCACCATTGCTGCCCTTAATTCGATGTATCAGGCCCCCGCCGAGAAGGACAGTTTCTTGCGGGGTTACACTTTTGAGGGGACCTCT